TATAATTGCCCTGTTGTATTATAATAGTTGTCTGTTGCTGCCTAATAAATTATCCCAAAACTTAGTCCTTTAAGACAAAAATAAACATTTATGATCTTATTTTCTTTGGATCAAGAATTCAGGAGTGGCTTAGCTGGGTAGTTGTGTCCACAGTCCTCTCCGCAGTGCTCTAAATGCTTGGCTGGTGCTGGAGGATCTGTTTACAAGACGGTTCACTCGTGGCTTTGGGCAGGAAGCCTCCTTCCCCTGCCATGTGGATTTCTCCAGAAGGCTGCCTGACTTTTCTCTTTGGCAAGGCAGAGACTGTTCTGAACCCCTAAGGAATCATTGATTCTGGTTTCTCCCGCAGCAAGTGATCCCAGAGAGCAAGGAGGAACCTGGCATGCTTTAATGACCCGCGCTCAGAAGTCTTGCGCTGGTGCCTCTGCCCCGGTTCCTTGACTGGAATTGGGTCATGAGGTCCAGCCGTGCTCACGGGCACCAAAGCAGGTTTCGCCCTTTGGAGGGAGGTGTGTCAGAGAAGTCATAGACGTACTTCAACACCTGTGTAAACTGTAGGTTAAGGTGACATCCTATTGAGTAGAGTCTGCTGAGAAGAGTCCCTGAGTTCATGTCAGGAATGGGTGGACGGTGGTTTGGACAGGGAGCAGAAAGTTCTGAGCGGGATCTTGACAGACAGGAGGCGGGTACCCGTCTGTCTGTGAGTTTTACCTGCTCTCGGCCGTGTCTTAAAGGACTCTGGAAGTCCCTGAAGATGGTTTTGCAATTAGAGAGGGGGCTCTGTCACACGGAAGCAGGTTAGACCTTGGCGGTTGACGCAGCCCAGAATGGGTCTAAACTGAATTGTGTTTTTTATTAAGATATTAAAATCCTTTATTAAAAGGACTTGTTCTGTAAAATTTGGATTCAGACAAAAGGCTGCACTCAAGGATCCAGAAATCCACGTGGCCCCCAGGCTACAGGTTCCCCGCCCCCGCATGAGCTAATTCACAAAGCAGCCCCAGCAGTCCATCTCTTGTTGGTGGCTCTATAGCGAATGCCTTTGTCAACAGGAAAGTTGCTGCGGTGTCCGAACATAACCAGGACACTGTATTCAGTAGTGATTTTGGAGCCATACTGTTTGATATGGTAACCGATTTTCACTTTGAAGCTTGTTCACTGTGATAATAACAGCTAATATTTATTGACTGCTTATTTTCTGCTAGACACTGTTTTCTTTCCTTTACACCCCATAAGGTAGATACTGTCACTCCTGTTTTACAGATGAGGAAGCCGAGGCACAGGGAGGTTAAGGAACTTGCCCAAGGGTACACAGCTAATGTACCTTTCTGCAGGTGATTATGGAGCTAGTGTACCTTATGGAGAAAATTCAAACCCTACATGTTCTCTCTCTCCTCCCCATGCCCTTATCTGCCATCTCCACCGTAATAAGATGATGATCTGGTTTTCTAAGCATTTACAAAGTATGAACTAGGGCACTGTAAATTTTTATTCTAATTTTTATTAATTCTAGTCTTCTTTTTCCTTTTTTCAATTATTACTCTAGGTCAGTTGCTGATAAAGAGGCCGTTGCAAATTTCACAAATCAGAAGAACATCAGTAATCCACCTGATATGTCAGGGTGGAATCCTTTTGGAGAGGATAATTTCTCCAAGTTAACAGAAGAGGAACTATTGGACAGAGAATTTGACCTTCTGAGATCAAGTAAGGGACACTTGAAGGCTTATTTTGCTTCACAGTAAAATAACAGCTCTATTATTATTCAGCAAGGCCAAAGACTGTTTTTGAGGGGGTGTATAGAAAATTCTTTTTGTGCATTTGAGGGCAAAATTCGGGCCATCTTCTTTTACATATACTGTCAAGACTATTTGTGTGCATTAGAAATCAGTTGCTTGATAATAGCTATTAAATCCAAGATTGCTGATAGTGTGCTGATACCCTGACACTTAAATACTGTATATTTGTGGACGTTAAATTCATAGTATCTCCAAAACATGGAAAATTAATGTTCAAGTAAAAAGGGAGATGTTATTATCTTACCTTCCTAATCATTTTGCAACTCCGTCTTCTTGCACACTCAGCGGAAAATAGTGTGGGTCTGAGATGCCCTTTGAAAATGCCTGAAAGAAAACGTGGGCTCCTACATTATGTTAATGTTTCGCAATCAGTGGTGACTAGGGCTGCTTTGTTGTCCTGATACAGCAAAAGTTAAATAAATTCTTTTTCTCTTTAAATCAGCTATCTCTATGTTTTTACTTGGAATCACTGCCTTTCCTTAAACTACCTAGTATATAATACGTCAAGCTCGCCATACATATTTTGAAAATGTTCTTTTTTGGAAGAGGGTTATGGGTGTTTTGAGGGGGTTGCAAAATAGGAGCAAAAAGCTCACTTTGCCCCTTTTGCATGTGAAAAGAAGTCTTAATAGTCCCTACTTTATAGTTCCTAATTTCTATTTTATTTAGGTACCTGGCCTTATGACAACATTTAATAGATGAAATGCTTTGTTTTCGTGTATATATTATGTAAAATTTATAAATGCCCTGAATTCATGAAAGAATAGTTGTTGAGATTTAAATTGGTATTTTACATATTGGTTATATGATTATGAAAATTAAATTGATGATTACATGTAGATATAAA